TTCCCTTAGGTGCACACAATTCACCCACTTTCCCCTAATATGCGTTTGAAAAGGAAAATATTTTATCTCTCTCTTTAAAATTAAAACTTTGTGAAGTAATAACCATAAAAACTTACACACAAAATACACACATTCGTATATATAATATAAATATTTTTAGTGAATGTACCGTGTTCTTTCAAACTATATATAATATATATCCCATCTTAAAAACGATAAACTTTTTTTATAAAGTATTCTCTCTAAACAATTTGAGTCATAACGGTCAGAACGTTAAGATGTTGAACTATTGTAAATTCATATAAATGAATTAATTTCAGAAATTATAATTGCAGCATGCCGATGTGGTTGTCGGACTTTCAACGCAATCAAATCTGAAAATATTAATAATCCCCCCAAATTTCCCTACTTAAAAACTGTAATAAACTTATTGCGAAAAATAATGCCTCGGCCGGGAATCGAACCCGGATCTCTTGCATTCTCGCACGGAATATCGTATATTTTAGTTTATGAATATGGCGTGCGCTTGCATCGATGGCGCCTCCCTCTCGTGGCGTGACGAGTTTAGTTTTAGTTTTTGTTTAATCGTTGACTACGTTTATACGCACTAGTAAAAACGGTTTTAGTAAAAATCGTTTTAGTTAAAATCGGTGTTGGTGCCTGATACATATTACGGCGTAAGATTTTACGAATCTTGCAGCATTGTTACAAAGACATTAAAAAATATTTTGTCTTTTAAGTAATGAACTGCTATCACATGTGGAATAACTGCTGTCACATACGTCAATTACACGTTATGTGATTGTTAATTATTTCCATTAATTTATAGCTTCTGCACACTGGACGCGGAAACGCTTACCGCGCAAATTTGAATTTACTAAAACGGTTTTAATAACATTTGTATTAAGAGACGTTTACAGGACATCTAAAGCGAGGCGATAACCAATGAACATGTTAAGAGCTGTAAGCTTATTGGTACGCGTCGCATTTTACCACGCGGCAAGTATTTCCGCGTCCAATGTGCGGTAGCTATTAGGAATTATAGTGTTCGTTGAAACATTAAGTGTAAAACGTAGTCGTTGACTAGTTATAATGTACCGTCACTTACACAAGTTTTGTTTGAAACAATAACAAGCATTAATATCAAAGTGTAAAATACATATTTGCGAAAAAGTGTAAAATATATAATAATAAGATTGAAAGACCGCACCACCGCACAACAAAATTTTTCGAACTTTATAATCAACTCTCATAATTTTTTGGAATATATGGATTTAAAATTCTTTGAATATGGCAAAAAAATGAAATAGAATGCGTGGAGTTTCTAGCATTATGTAAAATATATGGCTACATAATTCATAAATATACATATATACCTGCATATAAAATTTGTAATTAAATATAAAATATAATAATTATAATATAAAAAGTGTATGAAACAGCGTGATCCTTGCTACATTGTATCGAGAGATGACGTCGTAGTATATTTTAGTTTATGAATGTGGCGTGCGCTTGCATCAATGGCGCCTCCCTCTCGCGGCGTGACAAGTTTAGTTTTAGTTTTTGTTTAATCGTTGACTACGTTTACACGCACTAGTAAAAACGGTTTTGGTAAAAACCGTTTTAGTTAAAATCGGTGTTGGTACCTGTTTACACGATCAGGCGTATTTTACCTCCGCCAAAAATAAAGTAGCTTTATATAACCTGATGCGGAACCTGAGACGAAATATCCTTTGTCATTTCTTAACCTTAACGTCTAAAGTTGGTAACATCGAATTTTGATACGTTAAACCGATTGAAGTAAATTAAAGTAAACCGTTTACACGACTTTCGTAAAACGGTTTAGTAAAGCCAAACCTGTTTCAGAAGAGGTTTGGATTTACTAAAACGGTTTTAATAACATCTGTATTAAGAGACGTTTACAGGACATCTAACACCGGTTTTAACTAAAACGGTTTTTATTAAAACGGTTACAAAGTTCAATAACACACACCACTAATATCGACCTGTTCCTAATAACTTTTTTTTGCTTCACCAATGAGATTGTATTATTTTAAATTAGCCAATTAGTGATGTGAGCAATTGATACACCCGGGCATAAACCTTTTTTGTTATTCATTTTCCCTTTTATCAAATTTATAAATTAATGAAGCCACCCGGAAGCGGCTAGATGTTGGTGCCTAAGGGCGACAAAATGTTTAATACGTCACTGTGTATGGAACGTGATATTTATGAATTTTCGTGAATAAAAAATTACGTACTGATTTAGAACAATCCGTTACGTGATTTACATGTTTTAATTTCATCATGTAACGTTGTGACATGGTTTTTTTTCAGTAGGGTCTAAACACCTGTTCGCTATGATTGGTGGTCATCAATTTTAAAGAAGTAACGAAAAAGTAATGAAAAGTTACTTTTTCGAGTATCGGTAATTGCAACGAGTTACTTTTAAAAATCGGTAATTAGTAATGGTAACTTGTTACTTTTTCTGCTCATTAACGAGTAATTGTAACTTGTTACTTTTAAAAAGTAACTTTTCATTTCCTAGTGAATACTGTACGCGATATAATATTACTTGCGTACTCTGATGAAAAATTATGCTGAAATTATTCTACGTTTTGGAACATTTCAGCAAAATTGCTGAAGATTTGCTGAAATTCTATTAAAAATGAATTTTTCAGCTAACATATTGAAAAATCGCTGAAATTTCTTTGAAATTGAACTGAAATTCCTCTGAAATTTTTCTGAAAATGAATTTTTTGCTAAAAATAACTGAAATTGAACTGAAATTTTTCTAAAATGCTGAAATTTTGATAAAAAGTGTTCCAAAATGTGAAATAATTTCGGCGAAATTTTTCCATCAGGGTATAATCATAATGAAAGTAAAAAGGTATGCTCATTGGGAGGTGCGCACTACAATTCAATTGCCCATGTTACTCACATTGCCTTGTTCTTAGTAATTGTTTACTGCTTCATTAATGAGATTATATTATTTTAAATGATCTTGCAGTGACTGAAATCTGCCATCTTATACTCACACACATATAACGAGCATGCTCACACATAGCAACTGTCAGTTTAAACATTAAGTTTCATTCAAAAAAAGTTTAAAATTAAATAAATTAATTTAATTAATTACAAGCATACCTTATTACTTCCACCATGCGTATAATATTATGTGAAACATATTACTCACCTAAATGTCCACCAAATATCGAAGTATGTTACATTTAGCCAAAAAAAACTCGACAAAAAGAAGAAGTTGAAGATATATGCTGAAAAGATGAAATTAAAAAATGTATTAATCATCAAGCATATATTAGAATGACAATTAATTTATAGTTTATAATTATTACTATATCTATTTGCAGGGGTGAGAAGTAACTAGTTACTTGTAACTAAGTTACAGTTACAGTTTTTCTTTCAGTAACTGTAACTTAACTTAGTTATATTTCTTCCAATAACTAATAACTGATTTAACAGTTACTTTTACAGTTACTTTAGATTTTAAACTTATTTGTCAATTTAATGTGATTGGTTAAAATCTGAATACTGATTGAAGCTACGATTCACTTGATGCTATGAATGCTTCGAAGTATTTTTTTGATTAGTCAGTTTGTAAAATTCTTTCTTTCGATTGGTCAATCAAATGATTCGAAGTATTTGTAGCGCTAAGGGTGCATTCTACTTAATATCCGCAACGCTCACGTGTTTCATTTCATTGTTTAATATCTGTAACAACAAGGATAAAATGATACGAGGTTTGTAGACATAAGTGGAACACATCCTGTGTTTTGGAACGCAGCCCAGTAGGTCTATTCTGTAACTTTTTAACGACAATTTTACCAGCTACGGATGTCGTTGCGCAGATATATTTTACATGGTGAAAAGGCTGCGCAACGACAATAAACAATATCGAATTGTCAAAAGTCAAAAGTTGCAGAATAGGCCTAGAGATAGAGTATTTTATTATTTCGTCCGTTATTTGAATTATCTCGCGTATATTCCTGCGAAATTAAAGGAATTTTTAAATAAAATTGTATTATAAACGTAAATTACTTTTTTCTTTGATAGCCCTAATGATGTCACTCATATTGTTCTGTCATGATAACAGAAAAGTAACTGAAAAGTAACTGAAAAATTACTTTTTTAGTAACTGTAATTGTAACGAGTTAATTTTTAGTCTCGGTAACTTGGAACTGTAACAAGTTACTTTTGAAAGAAAAAAAACTGTAACTAGTTATTTTTACAAAATAACTTTCCCAACCCTGTCTATTTGTGAGATTTTCTTGATCTGCATGTCTGCAGCATTGCAAAGTAAAGAAAAGTGAATTTAATCAAATTAAATGCTTCACTGTATAATTGCTCTTTTTAAACCAGAAAATTATCTACATGCAGAAATGTGAGTTTTGTATGTACATAATGTGTAATTCAAGATTCAAATATCTATTGAATATAATTTTATATTATTTGTCCTTTTAAAAATTTAATAATTTCCATTTTATTAAATTATTATAAAGACAGAAATATGTATACTTAGACTACTAATTTTATACAGAGTGTTCCAAAAGTAACGATAAATCTTTTGCACAGGGGATTACGATAACTGTGGCCCCTCAAAATCAAAGTAATTTTCGGAAGCAATCTTAGCAAGGAACACGGAAAAAAATAGTAAAAAAATTCTCCAACCATTAGATACCAAAATAACTAACAATTAAACGGAAAAAATGGGGTGGACTTCGCTTCGCGTAGAAAGTCGTACGCTCCATAGCAGAAGGGATGGGGAGGTGAGAGTTTAGGGTGAAAGTCACGCGCCCCTTAACAGGGGGGAAGGAGGTTAGAGTTGATTCGCGTGAAAAATCGTGCGCCTCTTTGCAGGGGAGGTGGGGAGGTGAGAGTCGAGGATGAGAATCGTGCGCTCCTTTGCAGGGGGGAGGGAGAGGTGAGAGTCGAGAGTAAAAGCCACCTAAAACTTGTTGGAGGCCTTTCAAGGTCATGACCTTTTAGTGGATAATCATTATTTATTAAAGAGTTATTATCAAATTAATCATAAAATTAAATTATGATTATCAAATTAAATATTGACTATAGAATTTTTTTATCATTTTTCCCGTGTTCCTTACTAAAAATACTTTCAAAAATAACTTTTATTTTGAGGGGCTACAGTTATCGTAATCGCCCCTCGCACAGGGGCAAAATGGATTGAGAAGAAAAATTCTCTACCACTTTGCAATTTTCGCAATAGTTAACAAGATATTAATTGCTAAAAATTGCCGAAAATTGGTTTTCAATAATTTTTTACTCAAATACTATCAACTTTACAAAAAAACTTCAAGAGATAAAAATTGTTTATTTTCTTCTCGTAGAACTCTAAGAATTTTTTTAGAATTTTTTCAGAATTTTTTAATACCGTATTTTCTCATGTTAGTAAAAATAAAAAATGCAGTACTAAAAAGTTGATAAAAAATTCTGAAAAAATTCTTAGAGCCAAAGGTTTATCATTACTTTTGGAACACCCTGAATATATTATACATATAAGCTACACATTATTGTATTACTACAGAGTCGGGACAAAGGTTTGGCGAGCGAGGCATTTGCCTCATGTAAACAATTTGAAGGAGGCGCAAATTGACGTTAATAAAAAATTATTTAAGTTATGAATAATTATTAAATATAGGAATTCTTTCAATTGAAAATGAAATGTGTAAGGATATAGATTTTGATATAATAATTGATAATTTCGCATCTATGAAAACACGAAAAATATTATTGTGACTTTATAGTAACTATATTTCATTTGTAATATACATGTAAATTTGTATGACTATAATGTATAACTTCTCTCCTGTACACGTGATTATATTAAATTAATATTAATGTATACTATTAATTATTATTAATTAATATTTCTTATTATATTTCACCTGTTATAAAAAAATTTTTTACTAAGGGGCGCATTTTTTTATTTTCCTCGGGCGATGAAATGCTTAGTCCCGGCTCTGCATTACTATATCATTCCAGGCTTACTTCAAAAGTAACACAACTTAAAAAATGTCATTTTCGAGTTATTATCATGAATAAGTTAAGTAAAGATAACTCTATTAATCATCAAAAGTAAACTAACTTAACAATTGGTTCATCAAATAGCACTTGTGTCTCTCTTAAGGTTGTCAAAATCGTCACAACTTAAAAAGAATATAAACAATAAGAATCTTATTTTAGACCGTACATGTGAGAACACAACCAATACGAATTAGAAATTAAATGCTTATACCGATCAAAGCTGGATCTTTAATGTTTAAAATAATTCAATGTGAATTATATTGTTATGTCTGAGTTGTGTTGTCGCCCGCTATACGCCGGAGTTCGCCGTCTTTGAAGGAAGAAGAGCGCGTTGCCTGGCGACAAGTTGTGGTTGTTTCAAAAGATTCGAAGAGAAGCTGTAAAAGCGTTCGGACATGCTTCTTTCTCGGTGATATATTTACGATCTATTTAGCTTTGTGTTTCGTTTGTGATCTGCTCTGTGCTTGGTGTTAATAAACATCTAATTGTTTTCTACTTTCGAGTTCATTTCAGCGGCTCGGGAATGCGTGTTCGCGACGCGAGCGAATTCCGCGGTCGCGCGGACACACGAGACTAACGGACGAACATAAATATACAGGGTGTTTCCAAATTAAATCGCAAAACTTCGGGAGCGTGTAGAGGAGTAAAAAACTAAGAAAAAAAGTCCTATAGACATATGCTCGTTTTTGCTCCGTTTCAGAGAAATCGAAAAAAAATGTTTACATTTCTTGCCATATCTAGCACCGACATATTTGATTACATTTTCCACTTTCTGTTATGAATTTGTCAGTCGCTCTTTGAAAGCCTTTAACAGTAGATGAATTTTGTCTTTTGCAATATGCCGCGTACGTATTCTAATAGTGAATATGCTGATATGGTTTTTGTATACGGTTTCTGCAACGGTAATGCTTTAAAGGCGGTGCGAGAATATGCACGACGATTTCCAAACAGAAGAGTGCCAAACCGAAGAGTGTTTATGTTGACATTTAATAGATTGCGAGAGACTGGAACATTTTCAATTCGACAAGAAAACAACCGATTTCAAGCAGCGTTACGAAGAGATTTGCAGGCAGGGAATCGTATTTTACAACATTTTGACAATCATCCTGAGACCAGCGTTCGGAATGCGTCGGCTGTATTGGGAGTGTCACCACAAACAATTTGGCGAACTGTAAAAGGAGATAATCGCTATCCCT